CACTGGGCCTAGGTCCTCCTGCTTTGCAGTGGGCACTGCCACTGGGCCTAGGTCCTCCTGCTTTGCAGTGGGCACTGCCGCAGGGCCCAGGTCTTCCTGCTTTGCAGTGGGCACTGCCACAGGGCCTAGGTCTTCCATCTTTGCAGTGGGCACTGCCACTGGGCCGAGGTCTTCCATCTTTGCAGTGGGTACTGCCGCAGGGCCTAGGTCCTCCTGCTTTGCAGTGGGCACTGCCACAGGGCCCAGGTCTTCCATCTTTGCAGTGGGCACTGCCACAGGGCCCAGGTCTTCCATCTTTGCAGTGGGCACTGCCGCAGGGCCTAGGTCCTCCTGCTTTGCAGTTGGCAGCAAAGCAGGGATCATTTTTTCACCTTGCTCCCCAGTCCCAATGTTCGGTGATCCAGATACGATCAGTATGTTGTTCAGAGTGCCGAACACATTCACGGTCGTTGGCTGTGGTGAAAGGAAAAAAGTAGCCATTAGTTTAAAGTAGAGCTCTTGTCTGTGCAAAACATCCTTTATATTGTGCGTATATACAGGTTTGAATGTGGGGGCCTATGTGTTATAGTGTTAGTGTTTTAGTAAATTTTTTTTCAACTTTCTTTTGCCTTTTCCCAGACCTTCCACGCTTACAGCATGTTATAAATTTGTACTTTGAATGTTATATGTTGTCCCTAAGTAAAGTTGAATATGATTTAAATTTTATAGTACAGAGCATGTCTTGTTGCCTGTAATTTCTTAGAATTCTGATACAAATATTGATCAATTGTTAAATGCAGCTCTCCTTTAGTTTTTCAAATGTGATGCACAGCTGCATTGTCAAGACTGAGTTTTTAAAAGACTACGGGTAAAAGTTGATAGTAAATGGTGTATTTACCAAGGTGGGGTCGTGGAACCAAACGCCGCTGCACGACCGATACTTTGACTCGTATCTCCCTGGATTAAGCTCCAGGACCACCACATACTCTTCAATACTGTCACTGCAAAGAAAGCACAGACCATCATGTAAGAGGATGTACAATGATATATCAATGCCTAAATAACAAGTGAAACATCAAGTAGTGTAAATAAATAGAGGCTTGTACTTTTGAAACACAAGCTGGCATTAAAATCAATGAGGTTTAAAATCAACCTCCTTGCTTGCTGAAGTTTTGCCATGTTAACATTATGCTGTTTGTAAGTTATCTTTATTCCAACCCTGCAGAAATTACAGTCTGCTATTATAGTGTTACACAGAAAACACAATTTGCACGAGTCATGGTGGTGCATATTATTAGCTAGGAATAGAGAAGCTTACAGGTATATATATGCTCAGTCAATGGTGCCTCCGCAATTACCCCCTGTTGACACTGATGTTAACACATCCGAAAATAGTTTCATCAGGTTCGTAAAGTATTACAGGAGGGAGGTACAAACTCAGCCACTATGATTTAGGATGTTTTCACTGCAAAAGCACTGCCTACATTAGCTACATATTGCGGTGAGAAGCAGAACTCCAGTCAGAAGCTCTGAGGAAGGTGTCTGACAGACACCGAAACGTCAGGACTTAGGTTAGAAATCTTGGTTGTGTGAGAGAAAACTCAGACTGTATCCTGATGCTAACACGGACTCACCTCTTGGTGACCCTCCTGCCTTTTGCCCAAGCATCCCAGCTTCCGAAGAGGAAAGTCTCCTCAGCAAGGCGACCCCTCCACACAACTCGCACGGTCCGAGACTCCACCAAGGCCGTCTGAGGACAGAGACAGGTTTGGTCAGGGCTTGAGATAATAATAATAATATTACTGTTCTTGGCTGTAAATTAGCAGTAGTTCAATCCATCTTCGTTTGTCTCTTGCTAAGTCTCTGAGATATTTCAGTATATGATACTCAAGTTTGATGTTGTGATTAACATAAAGTTTACAGTCATCGAAATACTTAAGTGCAGGTAAAATTGAAGCCGTGCAGGTACATGTATTCCTGATATCTGCCTGCACCTTACCTGCACTGGTCCATGTACTGGGCTTATACATATAACCTTACATACAAGTTTATTGCAAATCCATGCCCAAGGGCATGGATTTGCAAGAACATGATAGAATAATATACAGTAAAAACAATAATAAATGATGCTAACGTTATGAATGCTACTTTTGATATGTTATTGTTGTTATCTTACTATTGTTGCTATCGTATTACATGTACTATTATAAGACTTAAAATTTCCCTTATCATCATAGACGCATTCAATAACAGTTCAATAACATGACAGCAAATGCTCTCTGGAACATCTGACTCTATTACAGACTACTATGTACCATCACTGTATAATCAAAAGATGTTAAAATGCAATGTTCAACATACACGACTATTTATGATAATAGTCCTTTCCAGGCAACAAAAGAATTAAATGTATTCAAATCATTGTTCAATAAGATATAGACAATAGATGAATCCATCATTAACCATGGCTTTTATTCTAATGACATATTTTTCAAACAATGTATAGGTTGCCAAAATATACATCCTATTACTCTTGTATTTACCTGGGACCTGGTGTCACCATGATCTTTGGTTGAAGTTCCCAGCATCCTCGCAAGGGGGCCTTCATTCACAGTGTTCGACATTTTCGACGATTTCTCGATTGATATCCAATTCTGGAAACTATCAGAGAAAATCCGTAAGTGTGATACAATGAAAATTCACTACAGGTAATTAATTGATGTTTCATTGCAAATTCATGCCCCAGGGCTAATTGCAGGAACAGAAGAAACATTTGGTATTAAAAACAGACAAGTAGTACACATATAACTACTGATAACTACAAGTAAACTACTAGTAAAACCTACTGGGTTTGACTAACACCTTAGACAATATCCAACCGTCACAAAAAGTGTCAGGACTAAACGTCTGTTCGGACGAATGCCTGATGTAAAATTGTTCTAGAATTTAACCATTGAGTTTTGAACCACCGCTGAAGCTACCAAACGTTCGACACAGTTCTAGAACACGCTTGGTCACACCGTGGATTTTTTTTCACCCTCCTTTATCCGTAAACTTTATCCTTAATTTAATTCGTCAACGAAACTGATCAGTAATTTTGAAACAGGGCAATTCTTGATGTGTATATGATGATTTAAGACAGTATTGCGTATACGGTACAGTCTTGCATTGATGATTGAGTCTGTTTGCTGCAGCGCATAGACGAAATACTAAGCTTAAACTTTTAGATAGTAAATACTTACTGAAAAGTCTTGCAGACCCTTTCTGATAGAATTTTGATAGAATTTCGAGCTTATTATGAAATTTATCCAGCGTTACTCGCTTGAAATATTGCGTAGCCTGTTTGCGATAGAGAAATATGATGGCCTTTACCGATTTCTACCTCTAACAATGCACCAGGAACTAAGAAATGAACTTACTTGTCTCCGTAAACGGAAAGACGGTCCGTCGTTATCAAAAGTTACGAACGGAATGCACTCCGAGCGAAGTGCACTAGCTAATGACGTCACTGGCGTCGTTTTGTTTTATGACGTAAACTTCAAAAATTACGTCACAAAGTCGCTACTTCGAGCTCATTGGTCAATTTCTTTTACAATTTAGGGCGATTCCAGTTTACAAATTTGCACTGAAAAGTTTGAAATTTGTCAGGCCATCGCAGATGAAAGCATTTCGGCAAAAAACGACACATTAAAATTTAGAGATAACCTTTGCCAAAGACACTTTCAATCTACCTGTCATGTCCCGACTCCATATCTGTGTACTAAGTACCTAGGCCAATACTAAGCCTATAAAACTTGTAGACAGCAAATACTTGCTGAAAAGTCTTGTAGACCCTTTCTGATAGAATTTCGAGCTTACAATGAAATTCATCCAACTTTAAATATTACGTAGCCTATGTTCGATGGAGAAATATAATGGCCTTGACCGATTTCTACCTCTAACGATGCACGAGGAATAAAAAAAATGAACTTACTTGTCTCCGTAAACGGAAAGACGTCCGTCGTTATCAAAAGTTACGAACGGAATGCACTCCGAGCGAAATGCACTAGCTAATGACGTCACTGGCGTCGTTTTGTTTTATGACGTAAACTTAAAATATTACGTCACAAAGTCGCTACTTCGAGCTCATTGGTCAATTTCTTTTACAATTTAGGGCGATTCCAGTTTACAAATTTGCACTGAAAAGTTTGAAATTTGTCAGACAACCGGAGATGGAAGCATTTCGGCAAAAAACGACACATTAAAATTTAGAGATAACCTTTGCCAAAGACAAGCATAGACACTTTCAATCTACTTGTCATGTCCCGACTCCATATCTGTGTACCTAGGCCAATACTAAGCTTAAACTTGTAGACAGCAAATACTTGCTGAAAAGTCATAGAAAGCCTTTCTGATAGAATGACGAGCTTGCCATGAAATTTATCCAGCGTTACTCGCTTGAAATATTGCGTAGCCTTTGTGCGATAGAGAAATATTATGACCTTGACTGATTCTACCTCTAACAATGCACGAGGAATAAAAAAAAAGAACCCACCTGTCTCCGAAAACGGAAGACGGTCCGTCGTTATCAAAAGTTACGACGGAATGCACTCCGAGCGAAATGCACTAGCTGATGACGTCATGGGCGTCTTTTTGTTTTATGACGTACCTTAAGAGAAATTACGTCACAAAGTCGCTACTTGGAGCTCATTGGTCAATTTTACAATCTAGGACTTTTCCAGCCTTCACAAACTTGCACTCAAATTTTGAAATTTGTCAGACAATCGGAGATGGGAGCATTTCGGCAAAAACAACACATTACAATCATACTAGTAGATAGCTGCCCTATGTCGCCGTACTTTCTGGTTGCGTCAAAGACGAAGCATTCATGCAGCATAGCTATCCCATGGCAGTTTAGCCGTACTGCCACGGGTTACCTTTTTAGAGTGGGAAAAATGAGTCACAGATGAACATTGTGCACTGTATATATTGATATGAAGATATTCCAGTGTAGCATTCCTTTTTTTCACTTACATGCATTTACAGTGTTAGCTCCTTTTATATTTACTTGTATGTGCCTGTAGAGTTTGTATAAATACATTTACTTTGTAAGAGAATCTCAATAAAGTACCATATGTAATGCCACTTTCCTGGTTGTTTGTGGTCATAGTAGAATTCGCCTGAGCTATGGAAACTTAAATTACAGAAATGACTGGAAGATATTACTCAAAAATCAGTAGCTGCTGAGATGATAACTATATATGTATCTAGTTACCATACCAAATTTTGTACAAATTTTAACAGTCGGCTTCATTGTGCAACACCAATATTCTGCATAGAATTCAACTTGTCTGTTTGACAGGGACATTTTTACATACTAGTAAATGTTAGTTAAACTATTGCTAATATTTAGCATGTATGAACACTAGTTCATTTTACATATTACGTAACAGTAGTGATGTCGTTTGCACGACCAAATTCACCGCGTTGTCTGGAACCACGCTTACTCGTAAATATACTGCAGGATGCCGTGTGATTTGGTAATAATAAAAGCTGGTTCAACCATTAAAACACGCTGATACGACTCACGGATACGTTATTACAAGCGAGTTTCCTCGATCAGCGCTGAACGTCCTGGAGGCCGATGAACCCTTGGTGAAGCAGCGCCGCCTGGCGGATCGTGCACATGGATGCAAACTGTGGGCACGGGAACCTACAGGGGGATTAAAATATAATTATCAATTCCGAGACTTGTTGCTCTTCTACTAAACATGCTTCCATCATAGAGGCTCTAGAATAAACATGTCTAATTTGATATTTACTATTCATATTTAAAATTTCTTCATAGATTGTTGTGGAGATCACATCATAGTCGCTCTAGTTTGACAGTAAATTGGTACTTTCAAATAACTCACTGAAGTTAAGATTAATAATCAGAAACGCGCGCTAACATTGTTAGCTTAAGAAGTTATATACTTCAATAAAATCAGAACCTTACAACAGAATGGTAGAACTGATATTTGTTTAATGTCGTGTCTATTGATGCCATGAGATAATAAATAATACCTGAGGGGTTGTTATTGCCACGAATGGCTGGGTTTCACAGTTGTCCTTGCAGCAGCGATGAAAGCCGATCAGGTCCCGCATAGCTGTTTGGTAGTTGCTGCTCGTCATACCGTAAATGACCGGGTTGGCAACGGTGTGGGCACTGATCATGCAGGCCGAAAAGCGCACCGTATGAACGGGTGGTTCTTCAGTCTATGGTATGAAAAATAAATCAGGCCAATCTCGGATAGTTCAATGGTACAGGCATTGATGATGCATTTAAAGACACCAATATAACTAGAAAAGCTGACATTTGCTTTGGAGCAATTGCATGGCTTCACCACATTTTACGACATGGCATAATATACCTACTTTCAATATGGTATGGGTTTGTGCAGCTGTTCACGGAGTTAACCCAATTATATCCCAACAGCCAATAATCAAGAAGAATAGAGGAAAGCTGCATGCCTATTGGTTCTTGCTGTGCATGCCAGACTGATGACTCATGGATAGTCATCCCCAACTATATTATGGCATAGTGGTGAAGCCATTAACTAGAAAGGCCAACATTTGCTTCGGAGCAAATGTAGGAATTTCACTCCATACCCTTCCCCAAACAAAAATGAAAGATTCTTCAAGATTATTCACAAAATAAGCCATACTGCAATTATCTAATTGAGATCAAGGATACAAGGACAAGCAAACTTTTAATCTCGACAGCTTTATTCACAAAATTAGCACTTGACAATATATTGTCTCCCTTTTTTTTTTACAAAGATACACACAGATTTACTTTACACTTATATATTGCAGGCATCTAAATACAACTACTAAGGCCACAGCAAGTAAATTTTATGGATGACATCCGCACGCGCATTAATTTTCGCCTGATTTTGGAAAAAAACAAGAAATTTTGTTGCCTTCTGACAGTGGTCAACATGCCGAAAATGGGCAAAGGTGTCTGTTGCCATGCAGGCAGGTGGATGGCAGATAACCATGAAGAGAGGAGACAAGAAAAGGCTCTGATTTAATGTTTTGTTTCTTACTTTGATGCAGTGATATGTGATGTTGACTGTGTATATGTGATGTTCCTACTGAATCAAAACCATTTGTACAATGATTGAGTCAAAATTTTACATTGTAGGAACCTT